AAGGTTGAGGGGCTTTCACCCAGCCCCTAGAGCCTGGCACTTTGAACTTGGACTTAAAGCCTCCAAATTGTAAGAATAAACTCCTGTTTGTTAGGGCCATCCCATTGGTGGTATGTTTCCTGTCAGAGTGGCACCAGGGAACCAGGACACCAACCAGGCATGCACTGCAGGAAGGCCAGTCACCTGCTGTGCTGGTTTCCTGGTGCATACATAGGGTAGGTTGCAGCCTACTGTCGTCTGTTAACTATGCAGTCCCATGATGGAAAATTTGAAATGTTGTGTGAGTTCCCAAAGTGGGGCCCAGAGATACAAAGTGAGCACACGATGTTGGAAAAATGGTGCCCACAGCATTGCTTGACACACATCTCCAATTTGTGGGGAAAAAGAAAAAGCATCTGTGAACTGCAATAAAGAGAAGCACAGTAAAGTGAGGTGTGTCTGCATTGTGAAGGGAAACGCAAGAAGGGTTGCTAAGCTGGCTAGAGATTGCACATTTCAAAGGTCATCTGAAAATGGCATGCAGGCTTCATGAAAGGTAGGGTGTCTGGGGGAAGTAGAAGGAAATATTGTTGGGGGACATCAAGTTGTTAACAGCCCATGGCATACCACGTTTTATTGCACTTCACAGATACTCCAGACCTTTTTTTTTTTAAACCTGAATATTTATGGCAGTCCTGTGGTGAACCAGTCTGTGGACATCATTTTTCCAGCCTGGGCCCGCTCCGTGTCTCTCTGTCCCGTTTCGGTCCGTCCCACCACATCTCAGACCTTTCCCCTGTGCTGCAGTGCACTTTGTAGGGAAAATTACTGTGTGCACGGAACTTTCACGGGCCCTGGGAGCCAGCATGTGACCCGCTTCCTGGCGGTGCTCACTGCACGGTGGTGGCCTGGTGCGACGCCTCCCGGTCTGCAGGCTGTCTGCGTGGCCCTTGCCCTTGCGTCCGGGGCATTTCCTCTCGGCCTGGATGTTGATTTTGTGTTCTACCTCCTGTTGCAGGGCAGAGTTGACCTCTTGTTGGTTGGCGATGTCGCCGTGGTGAGCCTGGCCAACGCTGTGCAGAGGTTATTCTCAAACGTGACAGACGTCACTGTCACCGTGAGTGGTGTGAAGAGGGTGGCGGCATTTCTGGATGATGGCGTGTTCAACGCGGTGTTGCTGAAGATGACCCCCTTCCCGACTGCTGAGGAGCTGGACGCCATCAAATTCATCCGGTATGCTTCCGAAACCAGACTGTGCACCTCAGATCTACTAAAACTGTGTTTTACCAGAGTCCTTAACAAGCTGGCTCTACTTCTACTTTAAGTCTT